CAAATTTATGACACTAAATAAGACTTGCTTAGGTTGATTTCGATCTTGTCGTTTCTTGTGTTCTGTTTAGATCGGGAGATGTCAGAAGCTGGAGAACTTAAGATCCCTCGACTAGAATTTCAGTTTGATGACACTCAGGTTGGCTTCGGGGGTTGAGCTTACAGGCATTTGGTTTCTAGGAGCGCATGAAATGATACAATCGGGCCTGTACTCCCTTGACACCAGTTGAGAGAGAGAGAGAGAGAGAGAAAGAGAGAGAGCAGAATGCAGAGATGGTTGATCGCGAACCAGCTAGAGTGGAATGTACTGGAATGAACTGGGCTAGAAATGAGAAATTCCGCGTTCAATGGTGTCAAGTAAGACTCACTCTGCCTTCGGTACAGATCGTATGTGCGCCAGTCGTCGGGAGTTGAGGGGATCGGTTCGTCCGGTCTCAGCGGAATGGTACCATGCACCCAACAGAAGTCGGACACAAAAGCCTGGAAGTTGTTGCCAGTTGGCGAGACAGGCACAAAACAAGAGATTGAATTGAGCAGATACTGCTTAGCCGAGACGACTATGCAAGAAAGCAAAAAGAGGACCACAGTGAAGATGTTCACACGATCGGAGAAGTCCTCGATCGCAACCCGGTTGGCCGCCTGAAGCTTGTTGAACCAGTCGAGAAACTCAGAGCCAACCATGCCGCTGAAGTGGGGTCAATCAGTCTGCGATCCGATCAAGGGAAAGTGTAGAAGACGTTCAGAACTGCACCGGGCGACAAAAGACAGAACCAGGCGGGTCGGTGTTCACGCAGTCGGCACAAGCTGACTTTGCACTATGCTTAATCGGAGATCCGAGGAGGCGTGATCCCGTTTTTAAGGGCTCATCAGCACGCTACCTGCTGTCAGGGCTCGTGTCTGCGTCTGCTAGTGTGCATGTGCAAAACGGTACCTCCGGACACTTCATGCACGTGTATCGGTCCCATACACACACACACACATACACATATGTATGTCTGCATATATATGTCTGTCTGTCTGTATGTCTTTCTGTATGTCTGTCTGTATGCATATTTGTAGTCGTTCAGTAGGAACCAGACGAAGGAGTCTATTGACAGAGTGGATAGACAAACAGCAGGCAGCACAACGGAAGGATAGAGGCCGATGACTAGGTTCTAGCAGATTTATTTTATTATGCTAATGCGAGAATGATGTTTATGTTCGGGCAGAGAAAGCACAATCGGCCCAAAGGTCCTGGCGATAAGCGATGGTAGGTGCAATCCCGATCAGACTGGCTCCATACAGGCCCTGAAGGCGAGGCTTTGGATCAGTCGGTGGGGCTGACCGACGGGGTCCCTATTGGAGGAGCGCAATCTGATGCATAGAAATGTTGGACCTAATTAGTGCAGGCTGCAAAGGGTGTGGAAAGAGGCGGGTTATGGCGACATAGTGGTGATGACTGCTGTTTTTGAGACTGATTCTGTGAGTCGGCTAGTTTCTGGCGGCTGACACACAAGGTCGAGTTTGCTGCATTGTAATGCACCTCAAATAGCAACGACTACAATAGGCGCGACGGATACGAGTGAGTTGTTGTTGAAAATAGAGGAAAGTTGAGCTTTAGGAAGATGCAAATGGGCGGAC